GTTTAAGAATACAAGCGTCAGCAAGTGAAGTTGACGAACCAGAAGTAGTTGAGAATACTCGGGCAACCAGAAGTAGTTTAAGAATACTAGCATCAACGAGTGAAGTTGACGAACCAGAAGTGGTTAAGAACACTTGTAATTCGTTGTGATTAGTGAAACCCTTCAGTTGAAGGAGACTGGATGTAGCTCAGGACGAGTGAACCAGTATAAAATTCTGTGCATTGTTATTTGATTTACAAACACAATTTTACTTATATTAATATATTACACTGAAAAACTTCGTCTACTACTACTTATTTTCTAAACAATATTTAGACGAAGTTATATTTGTTTGACTTATGAAACTATTTTCGAGCAGACGATAGATCTTTAGACACAAAGTTCTTTTTAACCAATCTTGCATATTCTCTAAGTGCTTGAAATATTATTTTCAGATGGAAAGAAGCCCCTTTGCGAAAATGTTTTTAAAATTCTTTGTTCACACACATCAACCCCCCTTCTGTGTGTTTTCCACTAAACTTCAGAGTCAAAAGTAGCTTATTAAAAGAATACTAGTATTTTTTTAAAGATAGTGGAACTCAATCTAGTTGGATTGAGAATTGGGCAAAATCTCAATGGTTAAGATGAACCAATATAAAAATTATCGTGTGTTTCATTGCCTTTTCTCCTGCACTCTTTATTATTAGTGCTACTACTTCACTACTAAAAAAATGCGAGTTTTTGATGGATATTACTCATCCCCCTTTTAGTGTTTATCTTTTCTCTACTACTATATATCAAGACAAAAGGTTAATATGAACTCATTGTCTCCCTATACGTCGATGATCTTATTTACACAGGAAACAATATGGGGGAAGATGAAATAATTCAAAGAAAACGTGATGAAGATATTCGAGATGACCAACCTTGGCTTGATGAACTTCTACCTCGATATAGAGGTGAAACAACAAAAAAAAGGAATATTTATATCTCAAAAAAAATATATTAAAGCTCTACTAAAGAAGTTCAAGATGTACAATTGTAAACCTATAGCTACTCCACTAGTGGTAAATGAGAAACTATAAAAAAAATGATGGAGTACCAAAAGTAGATGCATCACGATATAAGAGTTTAATTGAGAGCCTACTATATCTCACAACCACACGACCATACATCATGTTTGCCACAAGTCTTCTATTAAGATTTATGCAAAAGCCAAGTTAGATTCACTATGAAGCAAGGATTTTTTTTTTAAAGATATCTACAAGGTATGAGGGAGTTTGGTATATGGTACAAAATCATGATCAACTCAAGGATGATTAGCTTCACCGAAGATGATTGGGCATGACCAATAGACGACATGAATAATATGTTGAGATATGCCTTTTTACTAGGATCATTTTTTTTCTTGGTCATCAATGAAGCAAGCAACTATGACACAATCTACACTAAAAAAAGGTGTATGTAACAACTCCTCAAACTTCAAGTTATGCAATATGACTACAAAAAATACTTGAGGAAATGAGTGAACAACAAGATAGACATAATAGTTGAAAAGCAAAGTTAGAACACGGTGTAGATTTTGCAATAAGTGCATAAGAATGGTTATGAATATCAAATTTCATAGATACGAATTAAATAAGTATTACAAAAATAAATAAATAAACAGGAATTAATCAAGATAGACATTAAAATGGTGAGCTTATAATAACTTTGGTTGCTTTTGGGGAGCACTTTATCAACTAACAAATTGTAATGGAGTTTATTGATCACATGACTTAAAATAATAAAAGGAAAAATAAGTAAATAAGAAAAATACATACGCAGAGAGATCCTGTGCAGATTAAAAACATAATAAAGAATCGACTCAGATTATAAATCTTGTTCTATAACTTAAATTGATAGTACACACGTGGCCTATTAGCTCAGTTGGTTAGAGCGTCGTGCTAATAACGCGAAGGTCGCAGGTTCGAGACCTGCATGGGCCAATTTTGTTTAGAAATACTTTTTAAATATTAATTATATTCACCTTTGAGAGCATGCGCCTTTATGGTAATTGGTAAACCTAAGCTCCGATTAACTGTTTTAACTTGACATGGCATATTCCGTTATATTTAATTATTTATAATTTTAATTTAATGTTAGTATAATCGAGATTGGATTTTATTTACCTTTTAAAAGGGACAGGTTTTTTTTTTTTTTTTTTTGACTTTTTCTTGGTCCAAGTTTAATTTAATTACAAGTGAAAAAAATGCATCACTTAAGTGAGGTGAGTTTGCACGTGCTGGAGTTTTTTTTACCAACGTTTTTTAGGTTTAAACTGGAAAAATATATTTGTGGAGCATTTTATTTTTATTATATCAATTTCTATGGATGATGCAACGATATTTAAAAAATGTTCACATCCACTTACTTACGTATGAAGAACAATGATTATTTAAAACATCAATAGTTTAGAAATAAAATTTAAAAAATAAAATATCAATAAATATAAAATGGAGAAAATATAGTAGTAGAAGATAAACAAAATAAACCAGCCCGTTCAACGGCACATACTAGTTGATATATATATTCACCATAACAATGACTTTATTCCACATATGAAGTTCAGTTTTGCACTTCCATATATATTGGTAACAACGTTCCATTTTACTAATAATTTTGGGGTTTCCGGGAAGATAAAGGGCAAGCTTCTCAGTTCCCAAACGAATACATGCAATTAGTAGTATTTGCATGTTCCAATACATTAAAAACCCCTTATTGAAAAATGTGTGAATAATTATTAGTAATTGGCCTTCTCCAAAACCCTTAGTGGGGAATTTCTTCAGACACCAACATGTGTACATATATATATTGATTTTCATCATTGGATATCTTCACATATTCAAGTAAAAGTAGAAACTCACTTGAGCTGTGACCTTTTACCAATGAAAGAGAAAAGGATAACACATTACCGTAGCTCTCATATGATTTTGCTAGTGGGAGAGGGAGATTTCTCATTCTCACTATGCTTGGCAAGGGCATTTGGCACAGCCGTCAACATGGTTGCTACATCTTGGGATTCTAGAGGTTAATTTAAATATTTAATTCTATTGAGAGTGTAACATTACATATACAAGTACATAGTGAACTTGAAAATCTTTCAAGTTAGTGAGTGATAATCACGTACTCATGTCAGCATGAAATGAGAGTATGAATCTGATTAAATACAAGTTTAGAAATAATACTTTTGAGAGTTTCTTTATTAAAAAATAATTTTTATTTTCAATTAGAGAATTCTAAAAAAAAATTTTAATTTGTATTTAAATAAACTCTATATGGATGGTGTGCATCATGCATGCATGCAACTTCATTTGTAATGTAATTTTTGCTAACTTCATTTTCTTTTAACAATATTTGAATATGTTAACTTTTAAGCATATTTAAGGCGTAAATATGGAAGTGCATTAAGGAACTTGACTGATCTCGAGGCTCTTGGCTGCACCATTGTGCATAGAGTTGACGTACACACAATGTTTGATCACCCACTTCTCGAACATCGGAAATTTGATCGCATAATTTTCAATTTTCCGCATGCGGGTTTCATTGCTCGTGAAAGTGATCCCTACCAAATCAAGTAAGTTATGTGAAAAATGTGCAATATAATTTTTTAGCATTCATTCATACCATATATGTTAAAACAAATGCAGGCTTCACAAGGAATTGGTGAGTGGATTTATGTACAATGCTAAGTACATGCTTAATAGAGGTGGAGAAATTCATGTTACACACAAGATTGCATATCCTTTCAATAAGTGGAATATGAAGAAGTTGGGAAAACGCCAGAGATTGGTGTTGGTTGAAGAATATGAGTTCCATCCACATTTATACCCAGGTTACAAAAACAAGAGAGGAGAAGGGCCAAAATGTGACCAGAGTTTCCCTGTTGGAGAATGCACTACTTTCATGTTCGTGAATTTTTTTGATCGTCATTTATAGGCAAGTTAGAGAGCCATGTTATTTTGTAGAGTAAGTCTCACGTGCTTTTTGGTGTCGCTAGATGATAGTATGAAAATTGCTGCAATATTATTGTTTAATTATAAGTTTTGGATGTGTGTCAGTGTGCCCATTTTCTTTATGATTTTGGCTTTTTATAACTTTTATCGTTAAACTACTATATCTTAATCATTTGTTCTAGTAGAGATGATCCGCTATGAACTCATATAGTATAACAGTTTCTATAAACTATTGCTTGTCAATACAGAACAAATCCCCTCTGTTCCAATCTTTTTAGGTTCTTTGCATAGAGTGGACTTATTTCTTGTGTTACAGAGATTTTGACATTTAGGAATGGAATTAAACTAATAAAGCGACGTTAAATTTAAGAAGAAAAAAAATTCAGCGTTATCAAATAAGTTGTGTAATGTGTGTGTATATATATTAAGAAAAAAGAGCTGAAGCAAAATCTTTCACCTATAATTTTGGCGGTACTCCTTTCAATATAAAGTTTAGAAGCCCTTCACAGACAATCAGTTAACCAACTGTAAAATTATTCTTGATCCATTTATATTTAATTATTTATTAACCTAGCTAATTGCAGTTGTTTAACTATCTTTCAAACATATATAGGCCTACCTGACTTAACCAAGTGTATGTAATCGTTATACATATAAGACATTGCATAATATGTCAAAATTGTGAAATAAAAGGTGGAAACCTTTTTTATGATTTCATCTTAGGCAAACAAAAGAGCGATAGACATAATATTTGAACGTCATGGTAAAACATGAGAGATCTACTCTCACATATGGGAATGAAAGTTGTCTCTAATCTTTTATTGTTTCTAGTGCCATATCAAAACTTTTCCGTACAAATTCTCATGCAGTTAGAAAATGACACTACAATTTGCTAACCCTTTTTATTCAAGTGTTAGTCATGAAACATTATTGCTCTAACATAATCTTTTCTCTCTGTTATATAGTGCTAGATTATTCGTAACTTGTAAATTAAGGTCTAAATGAGAACAACTGATAGACAAAACATACAAAGAATGCAGGCAAAGTAGTATTCAAATTATGTTTGTTCTTGCGACAAGGCATAAGGAAAATTTACAGTAGGAGCAGAATATAAGCTGATGTAACATACCACTATCTATGAGGTGTTATAAACACAATTCACAATGTTACAAGACAAGATTGAATGTTGTGCATGAGAATAGTGTAGGCAAAGAAGATAAAACCATAGTGATTATTGTTCAGAACAGTTAGGACATGAAAAGTAACCTTTGGCTTGACATTTTACACATGCTATCTGCTTCACCTTTGATTCACTGTTACCAAGTGTTTCATACAAATCTTCCAGAAGTGTAAAACCAAGTATTCCCCCTTCTCTGACCGAACCGGTTCCTTTGCATCTGGAGCAAGCCAATCGCCTCAGATTGCCACATTGCTTGCACAACCCCAATGAGCTGCAAGAAAGGGGTTGCTTCATGTGTCAACAAAGAGAAGGTGGCAAAAAAAAAAAAAAACCAATGTCTCACTACAGAGCTTGGTCACAATATTTTTCTCATCATAGTTCTGCAGAATTGACTGTGTTGTATTTATCTTAATATCAGAAATTGTTTATTCCTCAATTACAACCATTTTGTGATCACTGTTAAAAAACTAGCCACCTCAGTTCAGTTCTTCCAAATCAAGGTGATGTGAAAGGTTCAAGACCACCATGACATAGAATCAAATACTGAAGCAGTCTACCAATATCTATAGTTGACTTGCAAGGCATAGCATAAAAAAGACTTAAAATGTCATACACCAAATGAATCTTCATTCTTCACATGGTTTAATAATACCAAATGAAAATGTATAAACTTAAAGGAGACACAAGAGTCCAAGATGCCGAATTTTCACTCAATAACTTGCCAGAAAAAATAAATAAAATTGAAGTACATCCATATTCCAACCAACTTCCAGACATGAGAAACAGACAAACACCAACATCTTGATGATTAGATAAAATCAGGCACCAAAGATATAGTAAAGCGCTAGAGTTATCCTTTAAAGTCCAAACCATATATAAGATCTAACTTGTCAAGCGTGACAGTTATCATCATACTACACACAATTTTGCTAAAGTTTAAAGTATAGAAGTGCTACTCCATAACCTTGCTAGCATATTCAAAAATAAAATTAGCTAGCAAGCATTTGAAACAAAACAATGGCATTCAAAGTAACTCTTCATAAAATTACACAATTGACTTAAGAGTAAAACCATAAATTTTCTTCTTATGCTAATGCAGGTAAGATCCAAAGGGCAGTGGGAAATCTTACTTGTGAGTGGCCTATATTTGGATTCAAGGGCAGAGGTTTAACATTGTTGGATGGATAATGTGCACGTATTGCACCAGTTCAGGAATTTTCAATAGAAATTTGAGATTTAGCATCTTCGCTTTTGGGATGGAATGGAAAAAAGAAATCTCACTGTTTCACTTAGTTGTGCTTAGAAAAGGAAGAAGATTGCTAAAATAAATTGATCATTCTGACACAGAGAAATTACATTATACTTTTTTAATAGAAGTGATTGACCCCAAAGAGATTAAAAAACCTGGAATTATAAAACTAGATATTATATCTGCTTTCAGCTAGAGATAGGTTTTAACTTTTAAATGAGGAAAGAACAGAATTATGTCTCAAAATGACCAATTACTAGAAAATGAATTCATTGTATTGTATAAACTCTAACTATTTGCAGAACTAGATTTATTGGTAATTGACATTCATGAATCAAATTCTACCCTTTGAAGGTAGTGCTAGGGCCTAATAATACATTGAATACACCCTTCAGCAATGGGAAAGTAAGTAAATAAGCAGGGTTTGGACCCATGATTTCCTTCCTTCTTTAATGATATATGGAAAAAGAGAATATGAATAAGTCATATAAAACATGCAAAAGCAACATATTAAATATAGAAATAACAATTGAAAAGCAAATTCAGAACATGGTCATATTCTGTAGTACCTAATAAGTGCATAGGATTGGTCATGGGCATCAAAATTACAAGATAATGAGTTAAGCAAATATTGCAAAATTTAATAAATAAATATTAAATACCAGTCTTAGTGTGAGATAGACATTAAATGAACTTAATATAACAAGTTTGATTGCATTTGGGTAGCACTTGAGACACGTTAAAACATGGGTTAGTGAAAAATATGGCAAAGAAAGACATATCACAGCATAAAAGTCTAATGGGGCTTGTTGGTCACAAAAGGCTTAAAATGAATAGAGAGAGAACCTGCGCTGAGAAGAAGAGAAGAAAGCATCGACTTTGGTGGCAGCAATGGTGGCACACACGAGCACAGCACCCACTCCCAAACCAGCTGCTTCACTCGCTGTAATATTATCCATTCTTTTCCTTCTATCTACTCTACCCTCTTATGTTTCTTTAATACTCATTTATTATAATACTCACAATATTAAAATATTCTAAGAACCAAACAATCAACCGGCCTATTAGCTCAGTTGGTTAGAGCGTCGTGCTAATAACGCCAAGGTCGCAGGTTCGAGACCTGCATGGGCCATGCTTTTTTAAAACTTAATGCTTCATGGGCCATGTATCTTCACATCCAAACATTTGGCCCAATTAGTAACAAACTATTTGATATTTTAATATATCCTTTATGGGCTTTTGAGAACGTGCATGCATCTTCACATCCAAGGCATACGAATACGACCCAATAAATTAATAAAACTTATTGAGATTGAACCTAGAACTTGATTTTATAAAGGGGAACAAATTTTTTTTTTTTTTTGGGGGGGGGGGGTATTGACATTTTATTTTATTTTAATTACAAGTGAAAAATAGTTTTATGAGGAGTGTCGTTCTTGCCCATGAATTATTGAGGTGAGGTTACATATGTTGGATTTCTTTTGTTCTTAATGTATTGTTTAAAATGAAAAAATAGTTTTGTAGAGCATTTCATTTTGGCTCATGAGTTGTGCGAGGCAAGCTTATATAGTAGTGTAATATATGTAATAAAAGTTATACAACTTGTAGAATATTATTTTTGTCTTTTTCTCCATTATTAATATTTATCTCCATAATAAATGAGAGATATAGACATAAAAAAAATGATATTCTACAAGTTGTTGTAAAAATTTTGTTGTACATGCATATTAAAGCATTAATCTTTCTTATTTAGTTTATTTATATAATTTAATTAATGATTCATTAGTTCAATCATTAACCAACTATACTTTACCAAGTTGATTATAGGTCTGAGTTTTAAAATATAAGATTAAATTAAATTTAACCTAAATATTGTGATATATTTTATTTAACCTTTCATGTGCATTTTGAATGTGGTTGCAACAATAACGGTAACAATGATGGTGACAATAGTAATGGTGGCAACAATAAGGACAATATTGGTAGAGACAATAATGATGATAACAATGATGATGATAATAATTGTAATGGGAACTATGATATAGACAATTATGATGGTAATTGTAGTGATAACTTTTTGTAACCTTTTAATTGAAGTTGCTTATTCTAATCTAATGGTTAGTAGTATTTTAGTTTATGCAATCCACATACATATTTATTATATATAAATAAAATTTATAATAAACTTAATATATATATATATATATATATATAGACACACTCTCTATGTTTGAATATATAAATTATATTCAAAATTAGTATACATAAATATTTTTATACACAAAAATTACATTTTAGATTTATGATAAATAATTTATATCATAATAAAAAAATATTTTTATTTATTGATAATTTATTTTAAAATATTAATATTTATTTTATAAATTATTATGATAAATAAAAATTTAATTAGATAAAAAGCTAAAGATTTCCTATAAATCCTATTGTTGAAAAAAGTTCCTAAAAATGTTTTCATGCAAAATAAAGATTCGTGTTTCATATATAAGAGTTGATTATCAATAACCATTATGGGTAACAAAACTTTTCTTTAAATGCCTAAAATATAAACATAATACCACCAATTAAACTAGATGAATTCCATGATTTTTCTTGTTTTGTAAAAGATACATGAATTTTGTAATTTTTATACACACAATAGTTGGTGATAAACCCTCTCGTTAGAGAAAAGTTCAAAAAATATTTTTGTACAAAATAAAAGTTTGTATTTAATACATATGGATTGATTATCAATAACCATAATGGGTGACAAAACTTTTCTTTAGATGCCTAAAATTAAAACTCAATACCACCAATTAAACTAGATCAGTTCCACAATTTTTCTTTTTCTATAAAAGATACATGAACTTTGTAATTTTTATACACACAATAGTTGGTGATAAAATCTCTTATTAAAAAAAACTCATAAAAACATTCTTTTGCAAAATAGAAGTTCGTGTTTAATACATATGGGTTAATTACCGATAAGCATTATGAGTGACAACTTTTCTCTAGATACCTAAAGCTTGAACTCAATACCACTAATTAAACTGAATCAGTTTCACAAATTTTCTACTTCTATAAAGATACATGAACTTTGTAATTTTTATACACACAATAGTTGGTGATGAACCCTCTCCTTAAAGAAATGCTCATAAAAACATTCTTGTGCAAAATAGAAGTTTGTATTTAATACATATGGGTTGGTTATCGATAACCATTATGGGTGACAAAACTTTTCTTAGATGCTTAAAATTTGAACACAATACCACTAATTAAATTGGATTAGTTTCACAATTTTTCTTTTCTATAAAAGATACATGAACTTTGTAATTTTTATATACACAATACTTGGTTATAAACCCTCTCGTTAAATAAAAGCTCATAAAATGCTCTTTTATAAAATAGAAGTTCGTGTGTAATGCATATGGGTTGATTATCAATAACCATTATGGGTGACAAAACTTTTCTTTAGATGCCTAAAATTTGATCTCAATACCATAAATTAAAGTGGATCAGTTCCACAATTTTTCTTTTATAAAAGATACATGAACTAAAAACACTCTTTATAAAATAGAAGTTCGTTATAATACATATGGATTGATTATCTAACCATTATGGATGACAAAAATTTTCTTTAGATTCTTAAAATTTGAACTCAATACCACCAACTAAATTGGATTAGTTTCACGATTTTTCTTCTCCTATAAAAGAGATATGAACTTTGTAATTTTTACAAACACAATAGTTGGTGATATGAGTTAAGGGTTTTAAAATTGAACAAACATCAACAAAAAATTGAAAAATAAACTAAAAATTCAAAAATCGATAAAAAAAATTGAAAACTAACAATGTTGTAAAAAAAACTTTTATTTCTCTAAACTGCGCGGTTGAAAATGTGAAACCGATTTAAATCAAACCGAACTATAATTATAAATAAATATGATTTTTTTTTCCAAAATACACAATGTAGATATAATACAACAACAAATAATGTAAAAGGTATTTTATAAAACTATAAGGTGCTAAATTGTAAGCTACAAGTTAGAAGTTTTTTTTTTTTTTTTTTTTGTAGAACACACGTTGTAATATATTTTATTTAAAAGGTGTTTTATAAAATTACAAGCTACTAAATTAAGTTTTTGATGGAAATTATGAATCATTTCCAAAATTAAAATATAATTTTATTTTAAGTGACAAACTATATTTATGCAAAAAGAAAATTAATTTAATAACTAAAATTGTATTAAAAAATACTTTCTCAAAAAATAATAAGATATGGTGTTAAATATTAAGAGATAAAAAATTCCCAATGTTTGTATATTTTTAATTTTTTTTTCCTACGTATGAGTCTTAACACTACTAGAAAAGTGTCATTTTCTTGCAAATTTTCCTGTAAAAAAATATTTGTAAATTTTTTACGAATTTATTTGCGAAAAATAATTTACAGACATTTCTTACAAATTTTGCTACAATTTTAATAATCATAGAAATTTTTTTCCCTGGTAAATTTGTAGAAAATATTGTAAGAATTTTATTTTGTTTCTTGCAAATTTTTTTGCAAAAATAAATTCGCAAGTAATGTTTACTAAATGGTAAAAAAAATTTACAGGTAACTTTTCCTGCGAATTTTCTTGCAAATTTTAATTCGCAGGAAAAATAAAAAAAAAATATATTTAAATTTATAAGTTTAATATTTAAAAAAAACTTCAAGTCCCACATCGATTGGAAATAAAACAATTAAAGTGTATATAAGTTGTGGCAACACTTACCTAACAAGTTAATTTATATGGTTGAGTGTTAGGCTTATAATCTACAATCTTAGAATTTAAAAGATTATGTATAACATGTTGAAGGCATGGAAACAAATGTTTCGGATGAATTCATTGTGAACATTTGAAAGTTGAAAAATTATTGATAGAATTTATAGTAATTTTTTTAATTTTTTTCGTAAAAAATATTCCTGCAAAATTTCTTGCGAAATTTCCTGCAAATTTTTTTTTTGCAGGAAACTTTCCTGCAAATTTTTTTACAAGAAATTTCGCAAGAAAATTTCCTGCGAATTTTAAAATTCGCAAAAAAATATTATTCACGAAAGTATTACATGCAGATAAGATTTCGCAAGAAAATTTGCAAGAACAACGTTTCTTACGAATTTTTCATAAAAATTCGCAGGAAAAATCATATGTAATAAGAGAAATTTTAGTAGTGTAAAAAAAAAACATAATACTATATATTTTAAGCTCATTTTTAAATAACATATTTTTAAAATTATAAAAAGTGAATCAAACCAAATCACAAAAGATTAGTTTAATTTGATTTGGTTTGAATTTCTTAACAGATTTAAATAAAAGAAAAACTTAATTATCTTATGTGATTTGGATGAATTTTAAGTAAAAAAATCAAACCAAACTACATCACAAACACCTCAAATACAAGTGATTATATATCGTTGTTGTACATTTCATTACTATTTTATAATAAATGAAGTGATTATATATCATTGTTGTACATTTCATTACTATTTTAAAGTGTGGTGAGGGGAAAAGAAAAAACAGAAAGAGAAACCGATATGCTTCCAAAATTTTCATTAGCCACGCCGACTAACCTGTTTATAGATGAAAATCATGAAATGCTATCTAAATTCTCATTTCGGACAGCTAAGTGTAACAAATAAAGAGAGAGAAAAGAAGTTAGGACAATTCAATAATTAAGATATTAAAAGGCACATTATACCTATTACTGCTACATACTAGTGAATGACACAGGAAGAAAGCAAAAAGTTTATATATATATATATATATATATGTGTGTGTGTGTGTGTGTGTGACAAAGCAACAAATTTTGCTACTGCAGAAAAAAATTGATTTAGAACATTGCTAGTTTTATATATATAAAAAAATAATTAAAAGGCGTGCAGTTTTTAATTAACCTAGTTAAATAAAGATATTAATTTACACATGTCAATAATAAATTTAAATTAGTGTTTCTTGAGTCAAAATAAA